AAGACCCCCCCCCCCCCCCCCCCCCCCCCCCCCCCGTAAATGAATACACTAAATACATAGACTTGTTTTTATAAGCCATAGTCGGTTTGTTTTTTATAGTGACTGTGAATATTCCTGCCAACATAAATGTGCTGGTTTTGTAAAATGTCTGCTCACCTGTTCAGTTGAAGTCCACAGAAAAAAACTAGACTTGTGTCAGTTCAAAGGAAAGTTAATAAATGACTGGAAAACTTACATCAGAACCAGAATCTGGTTATTTTAGTGATATTTCTCAGTGGCTTAAAATAAACATCTGAGAAGTGGTGGAGGGAGAAATACAGAATGATGCTGCTGCATACTTTTTTTTTTTTTTTTTCCCTCTGGTAACTGAAGGTTAAATGAGTAGCAAGCAGAATGCCTTAAACAAGATTGGTATATTGATTAAAACGCTGATTTAACAGCTCGCTTTCTCCCTTTGGAAACCTGGAAAAGATAAGCCAGCTGCTGTCTAAGAGTGCTGAGTGTCCACTGAGAGTACACTATCTATCATCACAATATGGTGATGAGAGGTGTTTTATGTTTGTGTTAATTTCCCCCACTAAATCAGTAATTATTACAATCCTGTCCCTGCTGTTTACCCTGCAGCTGTTTTTCCATTTGTCGAGAGAGCGGGTGTTCTCAGAGGACCGCACACGCTTCTATGGTGCAGAAATTGTCTCTGCCCTGGACTATCTGCATTCTGGGAAGATTGTGTACCGTGATCTCAAGGTAAAAAAAGGAGAAAAAAAAGTAATCAAATTTTTGTTTTTGCAGAGACTATTGGGACAAACACAAAGTAATTATAAAGTTGCGCTATTCAGAGTTAATGGGGAAAAAAATCTGTGTTCAGTTTAAAGTTCTGTGTGTGCTGAAGGAAGTCATTTGATACACTAGTCTCTAGACAGCTACATTACTTGACTTTAACCTGATTAAAAAACAGAAACACAGTATCTTAGTAATAGCACTTGAAGGAGGTTTAAACTTCCGAGACTTTTTTTTTGTTTTGTTTTGTTTACTCCATTACTTATAACTTAACTTCGATTTCAGCATAAATCTTAAATATAGTTCTCAATGTCCCCAAACAAGGGAAATGGGGAATTGGAGCAACATTCTATTTATCTCATCAAAGAGTTATCTTCTTGTATGATTTGAAAAGATTTTAAATGATTAAGAATACTTCAATAGGAAAAGAATTTCAGTCAATTAAAAAATTATTTTGTCTTTTGTATCTTGGGAAAATTTCATAATACTGGAATGCTGTTTGTCTTAGATTTGCCTGTGTATACAGTTGTGTATCCTGTGTTGTTGCCTAACACTCCAAGTACTCTGTGACACAGTATGACCAAATTCTATGGAAAATAACCTCTGTTTTCAGTGGAAAATAACCTCTTCTTTCAACAGGAACATTTTCTAACTTATGTGGGAGGAACCTTTAAATTCCACAAGAAGACTATTTTATTTTTGTGCTGAGCCTTTAATTTCTTGCATGAGAAACTGTGCTTTCACATTATACATGCATGCTTAGTGGAGTTCATTCATGGACTCCTTTGTACAGGAACCAAGGAGAAGGAGGCAGTGGTAGGCAAGTTCTGCTCAGGGAGGCAGATAGAAAACAAAACACTGAGTTTCCTGTTTGTAGCAGAATCTGTTGTAATAACATGAAATGATGTGACATCTTGGAAAAATATGGAATTCTCTAGTCAAGGAATGATAATAAGAGGACAGGACTATGATTGTTTTTTGTTAGCAATTTCACTAAACACCTTATAATTAGGGGGAAAAAAGCTTTTTCTGTTGAGAAAAGTTTTTCAGAAGTATATTTTACTTGGGTTTAGTCCTATCTGTATTTAAAGTACTGATAATAAAAAGCTTTTGGGAAAACGATGTTAGCCATGCTTTTGAGATGGTCCACAGCAAATACTGCAATAGTTTTTATTACTGTTCTTCAGATACTTCATAATTGGTTGTATTCTGTTTTCACATTTCAGAGCAAGAATGGTGTATTTCAAAAGCATGCAGAGCATGCAGAGATACACATACACAATTCAAGGACAGTGTCCTTTGCAAGTATACAAGGAGGAGTTTACCTCAGGGTTTTGTTTTTATCAGTAGCTTCTCTGTTATTGAAAGGGTTGTGCAAGATTAAAGGATTTAAGGATATATACTGTTTTGTGACAATATAGCAAGTAAAATTCATCTTAATAAATGAAAGTCATGTTACAGCAAAGGAAACCTGTGAATTCTTGCCAAATGACAGCCATGGCTGCAAGCTTGAATTACTTGACTTTGTCTTGAGAACATTAAAAAAATTATTTAGCTTTTGTTCTATGAAAGATGCACCAAACTTCTAAAACTTCAGAATGAAGGGTCACACTTTGATTAACCTGGGATTTACTTTTGTAAACTGTATTGAATTATTAAATAAATATTGAAATTGTATAACAGTAAGCACCATTGAGTGCTGTAAAATAATAGATGCTGCTTTTTTTTTTTTTTAACAAATCACAAACGAATTCTATTGCAAGCAGTTATACTGCATCTTTTTGACAAAACTGATATAATGTATCAGCCTAACCTGTTAAAAAATACTAAGGGATCATTTTTTTCCCCAACACACAGTTAGAAAATCTAATGTTGGATAAAGATGGACACATAAAAATTACAGATTTTGGACTTTGCAAAGAAGGAATCACAGATGCAGCAACTATGAAGACATTCTGTGGTACTCCAGAATACCTGGCACCCGAGGTATGATCTAGAATATATTCTTGTAATGCAGTATAAAATGTTTATTTTTTTCAATTAATTTTAGACCACGATGTTTGTATACTGAAAATTGGTCATTGTAGTAAAGAACTGACAGTCTGCCTGGTTAATACTATGCAGTTGTTACTCAGAATTGTATGTGCTACTATTCTTTGTGGTGATTGTCTGTATATCAGTGCTGCACTTCTTAGTGTTTAAAAAGGCCTCTAACATGCATTTTCCTTTTCATGTTTGCCTTCGTCTGTTAAAGTTTTTATCTTCCAATGATTTCTTCAAAAATAATCTTCCATCTGTCTGTCACTTGGAACATATGATCCTGCTTGACTGAGCTGTATAACTAGCATTTATATAGCCTCAGCGGAGGCGAGGGGGTAGGAAAGTACTGAGTTTTCTGGGTTTTATCCGAACTTCCCAGTTGCAGGGAGAGGGAGTTGGCATTTTAGATATTTCGGCTGTAACAGTGGAGTGTATCAACCTTAGAACTGGTTGAGGTGGGCACCAAAACTTAGCTGTTTCCTAGTATGTAAGCAGAAGTGGCATCCCAGAGTATGCCACCCCATCTTTACCATTAGCTAGCACTTGGAGTACCAAACATCACACTTCTTGAGGACTGATAAAAGAAATGGACACAAGAATGTTGAAAACAGCTCTGGTCTGGCTACCTTAGAGTCTGTGTGGAAGCTCAAGTCACGCAAATGATAAGTGCTGACAGCTCTGCCACTGATGCCTACTGAAAAAAAGCAGGAGAAGCACTCTCAAAATTGTACTTTTGTCTTCAGTCAGCAGTACTAATTGTGGTGTTGGGAAATGATGTTCTACCTTTCCCCTGGGGATGACAAACATGACTCCTGTATTAACATGAGAGACAGCATTATTTTTTTACTTAATGCCAAGGACTCTGTGGACGCTGGGTTAGCCCTTATTTCTGTTCTTGTCAGTATTCAAGACCACTGATTAACATGATACAACTTTCTTGTCAGCCTAAAGGGCTTTACGAGACCCTTCAGTCCTACCATTTGTTTTAATAAGGATTCTTCAAGGGATTCCCCACCTCTTGCAGCAACTCAGCACCACCAGAAAGTCTCTATTATATATCATCTTTGAAGAAGAATGTGCCTTAGTTTGAAGGGAAGAGGTGAGGAGGCACTGGTTCAGCATAGCTCTTTACCCTCTTATTTTCAAAAGTACTGAATCCTGAGTAGTGGCAACAAGCCCTGGAACCTATTTCAACAAGCAAGTTTAGATTGCGCTTCATTTTTTATTCTGAACCTTACAATTAAGTGATGTCAAGGAAGGTGGTACATGTCACCTTCTGCATACTGCTGGCTGGAAATGAAGATTTTAGGATGGTCAGGTTTGCGGGTTTGAGAGTCTGTGAAAGTCTCTTAAAGCAAATTAAGTCTCCTCCAATTTGTACTTGGAGGAAATTGAAACTGCCAGTAATTGGTTATAAATTAATACAGTATGTAGAGTGAATACCATTTTAAATCATAGCAAGACCTTTTGATACATTCTTTTTCTCCAACTATAAAAGAAGTAACAGTATTCCTAGGAACCACTAACTTTCTCTTCATCCATCTGGTTCCATTTTCCATGATTCTTTCAGTAGAGAAGAGAAATCTGAGTAGTAATGCTCTTACACTGCATATTTGATGTACCTAAATAGTTTTGGTTGATTAATTGCTTTCATGTCATCTGTTTGGTGATTCACCAGCTGCTCTAGTTATGACACAAACTCACTTGATACCTTGTGTCCGTTGCAGAATCCTATCCCATAGATTGCAAGGAAGACTTGGGTGCAGGTTATTGCTATTCTGTTTGGCAATTTCTGACATCTCCTTTGTGTTTAGGGACACTCAGCAGCTATCTACATTTAGGGATTCCAGGACTATCCTTAGCCTCTTTTGAATCTTTTATGGCTACTTAGAAGTTGCAGATCTGCCTGTTTGGCTTAGTAGGGTGGCCACTTTTCTTGTGTTCCACACCCAGAATCTGTTCCAGCAACAAGAACACAAGGGATGATACTGTCATCACTGGCATAGACTACAGGTGTCATTGCCAGCTCTTACCCCCTCATTGTCTCTTGTCAGCAGTCTTGAAAACATTCTCAAAGAGTGCAAATATCCCGTTCAGTTGCTTTCGTCTGCTTCTCCATCTCTCACTTTTGGAAACATGTTAGCTCTCTTCCATTGAACTTGGCAAGGGATCATTCAGGGTTTTAGACACTTACCACAAGTTACTTGATCCAGGTTGCCTTTCTGTTCTCTAGAAGTCCTCCTCCTATTATAAGTATTTTTGGACACCCAGGCTGTACAGATCTATCTTGAAGGAAATGACTCTTCGTTAACCCTGGGAACCATAGAACTCACTCCATTTTACCTGAGATGTGAAGGGTTTAAAGCAAAACTAGACAGGTTACTGATATGGTGTAAGATGACACAACACCTTTATCCACACATCCTTATGTAAAAGGGTGAAGTTAGCAGTATATGGACAACATTGCAAAAAATAAACTTCCCCTTCGTACTCTCTGCTACTATGATAGTGTTTACCAGTGCATTGAGTAGATAGTTGCTTACCTAAGGCAATTGTATCTATTCTTATACCTGGCACAGCTGACTCATAAAAGGTCCATCGAGAGACTGGATCCTCCAGTCTACTCATGTGCATGTGTCAGAGAATGAATGTACAAAATGACTTCTCGTTGTAGTTCATGCCACAGAAATCATTACCAGATGCGAAAGACTTACTACCTTTTGACAAATGCACATCATGAGAACCTCATGTTACAGCTGGACTTTACTTCTGTTACCACATTGAATTCCTGCTTGTTTATCCCAAGTCAGATGGCAGCATATACTCATTCTTTGCTTGGTTGTGGTAAGTGTAAAGGCAGATACCTTTCAGCCTTCCTTTAAAAACAAGTATTCTCCAGCTATGTGGAGAAATCCATTCAGCATCTGTCCTTTTAGTAATACCCTTGCTTCTCCTCTTTCATCTAGGTCAGTTGTTATGAGTGCATCCCTTCTGCAGGCCTTTTGGTTCACTTTCCCATGTACTTATTGGCTAGTGGTGGAGGACACTAGGACACTGTACTGTGTAACACATAGGGGTAGCCTGAGGCTGCAGTCTACCAGCCAGGAAGCAGTTGACCCAGGAACCTTGCACTGGCAGGATTCTATACCTAGCCTGAGAACTGACTTAATCTTTTCTTTTGTACTAATTCAGTGTTACAGATTCAGTTCCAAACTTGAGCTTGGTTCTCCAAGTGCTTTTTGGACCACTGTTTGAGACACAGAGTCCTGCTCGGTATTCCATCTTTCTGCAAAAATTAGATTGCAGTTGCTTCCAACAGGAAAACAGGGAAGTAGCTAAGCCAGGGTAAGGTGGATTTCCTCCATGCATAACATTCTTTCAGGTGAAGGTGTCCTTGTAGATCCATACAAAACTATTTCCCAAGGTGATTACAGGATCCGTCTTAATCAGAAAAGTTTACCTGTTGGTGGGTTTTCCCCACAAACCTTATGTTCCTGATAACAACGTAGTCCTTCCCACCCACTGCTTAAAAGGCTCTTTCAGCTCACATTGATAGGGCCTGACCTTTCATATAGGACCTAAGACTGGCTGGGCTGGTTTATGCAGAAGCTATCACTTACCAATATGTGACAATAAATAAGACCACAGAAGATTCATAGCCTTTGTCCGTAGGCATGAGAAGATTTGCATGTCTTAGAAGTTATTTTAAAATGGAACCAGCAGAGATGAAGAGGATACTGAGATTGGTTACACAAGCTTGTTTGGCGGGTATTTTTTTTGGTGATCTTTCTTTCAGAAATGGGAGTGAGATATATCATGTGTAATCAGTTATTTCCCTGCATTTTATCTCAGAGAAATGAAAGGTAAAAACTCTTTTGTCAAGATGCAACTGTTGTCTTTCCTCACTTTTCACTTAATTTCTTCCTTACAACTTTTCTTTCTGGGAAGGATATGGCTTTGATGCAGAGGCGACCCAAAATCTAGAACTTGGCCATTTAAGTTCAGTGGCTGAATTTCAGCAAGGGGAAGCATGGTGCCCGGTACTGCAGGCATGGTTATAGCAAGAAAAAGCACTTTTCTCCTGTTTACAGGATTTGAAGTTGAATTTTCTAAGAATGATGTGGTATATTCAGATTATAAAAAGTTATAGTAGAAGCAGAAAAAGTATTTCGTCACTGGTGCAGCTATACATTTGTTTCATTCTTTTAACATATTGGATCAGAATATTTGCCAAGGGCAGTCTGGTAAATTTTTGGACTGAGAATATGATGATCTGCCACATAGCTGGTCTGATACAAGTTGAAACTAAGTGATATACATAAGGAGAGGCAACTACTGAAATACACTGGGACAGGCTAGCATGGAAATTGAAGTTTTCAGGTTTTGCAGACACATATACATACCTCATAGAAAAGCAGTGTTTCAAACAGGGATTTTAATGCAGATAGAAGTTGCAGTGTGAATTTTACAGAAGAGCTCTTTAAGGTGTGGGGAAAAGCAAGAAAATGCTTGTTTGCAAAGAACTTTATGAAAGCAGCCAGCATCATGGATAAACTGAGACAGGCCAATTGAGAGAGAATAGCTAAGATATGGGTGTAAAAAGAGAGCATGTTAATCTACAGAGAAAAGGAAGTTTCATAAAGAATTTGAGTAAAATAGGAAGATAGCAAGGGAGGTTAACAGGAGGTAAAAAAAATTTGTGAAATTAATCCAGTGATCTCAAAGGTAGATTGTTAGCCCAGACAACGCAATTTAAAAGATGAGAAGATTTTTCATATGGAGAAAAATGTGGTTGTAGTCAGGAAACAGAGTTTGAAGTAAAGAAAATTACATTTTCTTCTTAATTTTCTCTTAATAGAAATTAAGAGAATGTTTTGTAGAGAGACACAAAAGGCAGGAGAAATTGATGAGCAACTTAAAATGAAGAGGAGCTTGCTAGAGAGCTG